TGTTCTATTCATGCAAAGACTAAAGGGAAATTATTTATAGGCATGTTTATTTGGTTTTTGACATAAGTAATCCAGAACATTCTCCCTCCAACTTGTAGTTCATCATCACTGTTGCTGACAATAAGAAAAAGAGCACATAGTTCATTCCTTCTCCTGGGTCACCAAACCAGCACAGATTTCTTCTGCAAACCAGGAAAATATTCTGTGATTGACACCCCAACCCCTTGGGCCTGCAGCTTCCTGGACTGCCTCAACCTCATAGCAGCTCAGAAAAGCAACCACCTTCTTCCCCCTCAACGTCCCCCACACTCAACATCTGCTCATTGATCCACTGACCAGGAATACAGAAGTGAAAAGTGAAAAGTTTTCTAAAACTCTTGATTTCAAATACTTTATCACATCCATAACTTAGGGTAAAGGAGCAAGAAGAATCTATTCTATAGCTTAATTTGTGTTTGTTTTCATAAATAGACAATAATAAGGTAGCTTGTCCTCATGTTTAATAATTAGAAGGATCTAGACTCCTCTAAATATCAAAGGTTCCACTTTCTCACTGCTTGGTTTTTAAACTTTTATGCACTGGCCGTTTTCTTCACTGCTCCTCTGCCAGCTTTTCCTTCTCATCATATTCTTTTTTCCTCCCTACCTGTCCTTCTCTCTTTCCTTCCACCTTAGCTTCCTTCTGTTCTTTCTTCTAACACTGTCTAGAGGCAACCAGAACTATATCCTCCTGTTTCTCTCCCACAGAACTTACTCCCTTACTTCAGGTGTGTGAGTGGCTACAGACTCTATGTCATTTTTTTCCTGCTAAAACATAAAATAGATTCTACTGGATTGGGGGTAAAAATATGCTTTTGAAGAAGGAGTCAGTGGAGGCCCATATTTACAGGACATTTATTGCTGCCACTTTATGGGAAAAATTAGTCTTTTATGCTTTCAGTAATGATTCCCCAGGCCCTCTTTCCAAACAGGCATGCTCATAAATTCCTTGTTTTTACAGTAGGGCAAAAATGTGCTAAAGCATGCTCTTCCTCACTCACAGCATCATATGGTGAAGGATGGAGAGGCATCCTGGGAAAAAGAGAGTGCTGCCCATGGACAGGAAGCCAACAGACCACGGGCCCTCTCTGGACACATCTTGCAGGGCCAAGAACAATGCTGTGTAACTGAGGAAGCCATCTGGAGCACACACATTTCTGAGAAATACAGCTGCCTCTTTAAAGAAAAGAAAGTCCAGGCATGGGGCAAGAAAAGCCCTGCTCAAGCTCTCTGGGGCTTTGCAGGGGATCAACCATGCTAGCCAGATGCTGCTGGAAGAAAGTCCTTTCTTGCAGGGCATCTGGCCTCTGTACACCCCCTAGGTGACTTAGATATAATTGCTATGGAACTGCAAAAGGTCTCAGATAAAACCATCCATGGGTCGTGTGACCCTGTCCAGATGTGCTTCGCAAAGGCAGAGGATTCCCTGGTGTCATGTCCAGTAGCCTGGACTCTCTTTAAGCACCTTATGTCTGATAAGTCTCACATCAATTAGCCATTTTGGACTCTCAAAAATATGACTAAAAGACATAAGGAAGGAAAAAGTAAAACAAGATTGCGTTATGCTTGAAAGCAAGCCAATTCCTATTTACTTATAAGGCCCAGAGGCAGCATTCCATGGAAGGCCAGCAAATTCTTTTTTATGGCCCGCATTGCATTGTTTTCTGGTAATTATAATTAGTAGCAATGCCACAAATGTGTGCTGTAACACTGTCCAAGTATCAGCTATTTTCAGAGAGGAATATTCAGATAGTCCAATCCAAGGGAAGTCCTGCTCAACTACAGATTTGGATTCAGCAACTACAATTAGACCAAAGAGTCTGTTTTTCTGACAAGTGCCCCAAGCAGCTGGTGCTCCTAGTTCAGGGACCCCACTTTGAGTATGGCGGTCTCAGGCAGTGAGTTCTGACACTGGAGTTGGATGAGATCAGATTTGAATTTGATTACTTATTTCCCTCAGGATATTGAATAAATTCTGAGTCTCTGTTTCTTCACATAAAAATAAAGCAAATAACAATAATACTTGTCCATCCTTCATTTCAAAGTTGAATGTGAATTTCAAGTGAAAATATGAGTGAAGGACCTCTGGAAACTCTAAAATGCTTGTACAAATATTAGCTCTTACTACTGACTCCTTTAAATGATACTGTTTTATGTACCGAGTAACTCCCAGACTTTGCTTAGCCATGAAAAGAAATGCCTTGTGCAATATAGCACAGAAACAAAATAGATGAGGAAGAAACCAAGAGAACGTTCCTTCAAAGACCAGTGATATAAAAGACAGAGACAAATCACCTGTCCTACTTGAAGAGGATTCTGGAGAAGATTCTACCATATATCTTGGTAGGCTACTTAATCTGAAGTAGAAGGTAACGATTCTTAGTTGAATTATTATTATGCCTACCTGATCTCAATAACCAATTCAATAAAATCATCAGTTGTCTTGTATTTATTTGGTACTGAGTAAACAAAATAGCAGTAGATGGGTTGCACTTTTTCCTAATCTCATTAAATACATGCTATTCAATTAAGCAGAAAACCATGGGCTGTAGATTCAATCTGAAGCCTGCAACTCACTATGTTAAATGTAAACAAGTTGCTTGACCCTTCTGAATCTTAATTTGCTCATCTGTAATATACGATAAGAAAATTACATCTCTCTCAAAATATTCTGGACAGTATCCAAATAATATGTAGAGTTTTTAAAACTAGATGTTGATTGGTAAATTATATATGTCTCTACTATTTTGACACTGTACCAGAAAACAAAGAACAAATAATTATCTTATAATGGAATTAAATATAAATAATTATGGGTCTGGAGAGATAAAACAGCATGTAGTGTGCTTTCCTTCACATAGCCAACCCAAGTTTGATCCCAGGCATCCCATATGACCCTCAGGCAGAGTCAGAAGTAATTCCTGACCATTTCCAGGTGTGGTCAAAAAACAAAACAAACAAAAATAGACAATTTTAAAATATACTTCAAAAGCTTTCCTAAGCACTTAAAAGGGGTTTTTTCATAGTGATGAAGTGATAATACAGCTATTATTGAATATGTCTTGCACATAGCTGGCCCACATTCAATCCCCAGCACCCCCTATGATCTGCCAAGCCCCACCAGGAATGATCCCTGAGCACAGAGCTGTGAATAAGCAAAAAATAAGCCAGGAGTAAGCACAAAAACAAAAAAATTTCTTTCATCTAATTTTTATCTAACATAACAAATGTTTCAATATAGCTTTCATAGGTCCTCAAAGCAAATGCAGAGAGATTAAAGGCCCAAAGGAAGTGAACTTTAACCTGACTCTCAGACTCTCCAGGAAAACAACCTTGTAAATCAAGATTGGATTCACAAATATTCATTGTGGACCTTCTCTTTCCCACTCCCAAGACACTCATGTTACTATTGGGCATGCCATCCAGGGCAAAAGATATTACATATTTAATTTGATCCCATAAGGTACTATCTGTTATCAGACCTTTTATAACAGACATAGGCAAAGAAACAGAAAGATCTAGAAAGCTAGGAAATGAGTTGTTTGTCAATATCACTTTGTGTCCTTCCACAAACACCCTATATTTTTTTTTTTAAAAAATGTACAATTAACTGAAGAGGAGGAAGGAAAACTTTTAACTCCGCAATACACAATGACTATTCTCAGCACATATTAAGCTACGGGATTTGTGCTATATAATAAATGAGATAATAATAAATGAGATATTTCTTCTTCCTATGAGAGTGACTATCCTAACTCACTCTTCTTAAGTGACATTTAAGAAGAGGATAAGTGAAGTTAATTTTTAAAGTGTAAAATTTGACTATGAACTGAATGGAAAACCTGATGGAGATACAGATTAACTTAAACCCAGGAGGTCCAATTAATCAATAAATTAATTGAATAATAAATTAATCCATTTAATTACCATGAATGAAGGAGAGGGTTGGAGTGGAGTGGGTAGGGTGTTTAGCTTGCACACAGTTAATCTGGGTTCAATGCCCCCTGCACTCCATATGGTCCCTCAAGCCCACCAGGGTAAACCCTGAGCACATCAAGTGTGACAAAAACATATATACAAATGTGTGTACATATATGTACATATATACATAGTATATATATACAAATGTGTATATGTGTATATATAAGTACATATGTATACATATATACATAGTACATATATATACAAATATGTACATGTCTACATATATACATATATATAGAATGAGTTTAATAAATCCTAGGCTTCTTGTTATTGTACAGTTCTCAGAGTGTTAACAGCATTCCCTTATCTATTTCCTTTTCCCAGGGGCCACTCCCAGTGATGCTGGAGGTGGAGACTTGTGGTGTCAGGGATCAAATTTAAGAACTAATAGATGCCAGGCATGTTATCTACCACTTGAGCTATCTACCAACCACTTCTTTTCAAATCAACTCTTTGATTTTTTGGCACTGTCCTATGCCATATGTGAGTATGAAAAATCACAACCCTGTTTTAGAGGGTTCAGACTGAGTGAGTGAATTCTTACACTCATACAGGTGGCATTATCATAGAGCAGAGCTGGAAATCTACCTTTGATCTTCAGAAATCCCAGAATAACATTTTCAATTTAATTTTGTCTTCAAAAATGAGGTGGAGGAGAGAGTGGGCATCCTTGTCTCGTCCCTGACCTTAGGGGGAAGGCTCTCAGTTTTTCCCCATTGAGGATGATGTTTGCTGTAGGTTTGTGGTAGATGGCTTTAACTATATTGAGGAAAGTCCCCTCTATCCCCATTTTGGCAAGGGTTTTCATCATGAATGGGTGCTGGATCTTGTCAAATGCTTTTTCTGCATCTATTGATATGATCATATGATTTTTATCTTTTCTTTTGTTGATATGATGGATTATGTTGATTGATTTCCGAATGTTGAACCATCCTTGCATCCCTGGGATGAATCCTACTCTAGGAATAGGAGAGGGGTTGAAAACAGAGCTAAAAGACCAGTTACTATGATGCAGATATGATGGAAACCAGGTTTGCTAAAGCAACTTGTGTGATAGAAATGGATTAACTTCAGATCCTACTGACATTGCCTATTCAATCCTAGTACAGGATAGAAACAAACAACAACAACCAAAATCCCTAGTTATTAGGGCTAGAGTGATAGTAATGCAAGTAGGGTATCTGCTTTGCATGCAGCCTATCTGGGTCCGATCCTTAACATCCCGTATATATGATTCCCTAAGCCCTCCAGGAGTGAACCCTGAGTGAAGAGCCAGAAATAAGCCTGGATAACTACTGGGAGTGGCTCAAAACTAAAATAAATTAAAAATTTTAAAAATTAATACAATGAAACAAAAGACCAGTTAGTAGGATTGGCTATGGCTCAGCAGTAGAGTACATGCCTTGGGTTGAATCCCTAACATTGCAAAAATAAATCAAAGACCAGTTAATTTCAGCCTGATCTGTGATTATTCTATGTGCATGTGAGTGAGTTTTACATAAACTTTAGAAAAAAGAAGAAAATAAAAGGAAATCTAAGTGTGCTTGTCACAGTGGCTAAAATGTTCAGTGTTTAGAATCAGACTTTGGTGACCTTATTAACTATACCTTGGGCAGGTTACCTGATATGACTGACACTTTGTTTCTGTTTATTGGAATAGTAACAGTCTTTAGCTCAACACATTTTGGCCACATCTGACAGTGCTCGATCCTGGCTTAATCCTGGCTCTGCTCTCAGGGATCACTCCTGGAGATGCTCAGAGAATCATATAAAACCAAGGATCAAACCCAGGTCAACCCATCATGTAAGGCAAACACCTTAACCATTGTACTATCTCTCTAGTCTGCTAGTTCATAACATTTTATAAAAGATTATATGAAGTACAGTATGTTAACATATAAGTCTAGTACATGATGTGTTGTTAACTCTCAATATATTTGGGTGTAATAAATTAATCAATCAACCAATCTATTACTGAGTCAAGAATTTGAATCTGTCTGAGTCTTTGGCCCTATCAACTAGTCCCTCTGAATTTAATAAATCCTTCTATCTGTACTAAAGAATTTACTAGAACCACACACTTGTCTCAAGAATGGTATTTTCAATCTGCAAAAAGTATAAAAAATTTTAAATATGGATATGGGAATGTGGGAAGGGGTGATCTTCCTTTCTGGTACCTGGTGTAGAGGTCAGAGACTTGCACTATACAGTGGTACTCAATCTTTCATGCCAATTGAAACCACTTGAGCTGCTTTGAAAAGCCTAACACCTGAATTTCTCCCCAGAGATCCTAATTTAATTGGCCAGGGTAACACCTGAGCATCAGGTAATTTAAAAACTCCCAGGTGATTACAATGTTTAACTAGAATGGTAAGCCATTTCCCATGCCAACAGAACCCTACAAAGAAAGAAGCTACCAGCATACTCAGATTTAAGGTCTGATTGCTTCTTTCCCAAGTGGGAAGCACGGGGGTGAAGTGGAGTGAGGGAAAGGAGAAGTGGTTGAGAACTGATGGAATCCAACATTCACTGCTTCTTTCTGAAGATTAGCTTTCCCAGTAGATACATTACTAGTCATGTCCTAGTCATAAAACATAAAGCTCTCATTTCCTCATTGGTCTGATATACTGAGTGCTTTTCAGCATTATTAACCTCCATGATCAAAATAGATAGGAAGGTTAAAATTCTGGGAAAACCTCTTTATATCTTCAGAATTGCCAGGCCACACAGTGAAAGAGAGGTTGGCCTGCGTGCTAGCATTCTTTTTGTTTTGTTTCTGAGATGCTCAGGAATTACTACTGGCAGAGCTCAGGAGTCCCATATGTGATGCCCAGGATCAAACCCAGTTTGACTGCGTGAGAAGAATGACCCTTACCCACTTTACGATCTTGCCCAGCTAATCCTTCTTGCTTGAGTCAAACAAACCTGAAACCTAAATAAATTTACTTTGTGTACATAATAGGATCAACAGGGATTTAGATTTACAGAAAGAAACGTCGTCATGTGTAACAGCCTGCTTTGAAGAGTCTTCCATATAGGTGAAATTGTCTCTGCTTCTCTTAGGCAGATTTCTATGCAAAAACTACACTACAAAGAGCAAACATTTAGAGCTGCTAAATATCTACTTCCCATACACCACAGAACTCTTAGGAGACAAGTTCACCGTCTATTTGCAGCCAAGACATGTAAAGACCACGTTACAGAAAGTTTCACTCTTCCCACAAAGCCAAGGTGTAAGTAATCATGTGACTGGCTAGCCAATCCGATGCCTCAAGCCCAAACTCGCAAAGATCTTTTAAAAAAGAATGTGGGATTAGGGATTTCCCGGTGACTTTAGAGGATCTAGAAGAGGTAAAGCAAATACCTAAGGGAGTAACAACCCACCAGCACAATGAGTGTCGCTGACAGTGATGCCGCAGCAACAGAGCATCCCTAGCTGTCAAATCGACTATTGTCAGTAGGATACTCCCATTCCTCTTCCATGCCTTTCGTGTTGTCCCTTGATTAATACCAGAGCCTTCCTGGATTCCCAGAGTTTCCTTGTTGCTGTCTAAACACTTCCTCCTGGGTCCAGAGCCAGAAGTACAGTGGTTAGGCGCTTTTTAGCATGGGAATCCAACCCAAACCAGGGTTGGATTCCCAGCACTCCATTTTGTACCCTGAGCACCACCATGAGTATACTCTGGTGTGCAGAGCCAGGTGTAATCCCTAGCACTGCCGGTGTGCCCCTTACCATAAAATAAATAAATGCAAACTTCCTAACATCGTCTTCCCCTTAATTACCCAGGGCAGACTTGTGTTTCTTCCGACCAGAAAGTTTATTAGTGCTGGTTAAATAAGGATATCTAATTGCAGCTCCTTTACTGGTTACCAAGCTATTACCCATAAGATCATACATCCTAGAGTGATTCATTTTTAGTTCCTAATAATGCTTTCCTTGCAAAGTTGAACTCTATGCAGATTTACTTCTGTATTTTCCACTACTGTAAAAATTCCGATGCAGTACACATAAATGGCATGTCAAATTATGATTAAAGAATGAAAATTAAACTTCTACTCTGAAGAATTGGGACAAAAATAACGATGCTTCACTCAGAGGTCATAAGACAGAATAAGTACCATGGAGCAAGCTGTTGAAGTAGCAAAATGTAGTATTTTATATTTTTACTTATGGATAATCCTAACACCTATATCTGTTATATTTGGTCTTTGGCTGCAGTTCTCAAGTGCACCACATCCAAAATTATCACTAGACATTTTTGTCTGGCATCTTTTCTGTGGATAGGGAGATAAAGTGTTTTGATCTAAAAGATATTTTCTTGGTAATTGAATTGAGGGTAGGATAGGAAAAGAAATCTAAACCTCATTCTTTATCCTTCGTCTGGACTATATGTGTGTGTCAAGCTGTATTTCAGATTGGAAGTCCATGGAAAAGGTTATCATAGATCAGCCAAGGTGCTAACATAAATGTCACCAAAGGAGTCAAATCCAGGGGATGCATTATGACCAGACGACTCATTTTCAAGCTAAAAACCAACTACTTCATGTCCACAGTCCTTGATAATCTCCCTCAGAATACTTACTGTTTCTAACCATCATCCACATAAAACAAATAGTCCTAAACAGAAAGGAAATATGGGACAGCTGAAAAAATGTGGGGTTTCAGTACTGCTCCTACTTTCATGCAGTTTATATGACCTTGAACAATTACTCAACTTCTCTAAGCCTAAGCATATTCTTCTGTAATATTTACATAGATGGAATTATATAGAAGGCAACCATATCATTACAAAAATGGTTGACCCCATCCAGATAGTGTTAGAATTAAGAAACAGCCATTTTACTATAGCAAAAGTGCAGTCATTTTAATTGTTAGGGGTCATTTTTGTACTTTATAAGTTTATGTAACTGACAGAAGAACTGGGCATGAACCTGAACTGGATGTGAACCCTGACCATATCCTGGAACATATCCTGGAAAAAGGAATAGGAAAAGGGGAAGAATAGATAGGGTAACTCCTTGCAAAACTGATGGGTGGCATCACCAATCAGTGTAAGGGTGGAAATAACCTGGTAATCAGGCAAGAGCGTGGTTTTGGAGTACTTAAATCCTTATTGCAGTTGGAGAAAGTCATACCCCAAATGGGGTGGAGCTCTGGCCGGTCAGCTTGTAGCAAGTATCTTTAATAAAATCTTTAAACATCTCCTGGGTGACTTGTATTCGAATTGTAAATGCTAACAATAGAGTAATTGAAAAGGCTGGAGGAATATCAACATATATTTATGCAAATGGGACACATTTATTAACTGTCCATTGTATGCAGGGTTGTATACATGCACAAAAGTTATGTACATGATTCAGAGAGCAATAATTTGAACATTGACTGGAGTTTGTAATTATGAGAAACATATCTATGTTCCACTTTCTTCATCCCCTTATAAAATAATTCCTGGAGCTGGAGCAATAGCACATTGCATTTGCCTTGCATGCAGCCAACCTAGGTTTGATTCCCAGGATTCCATATGATCCTCTGAGCACTGCCAGGAGTAATTCCTGAGTGCATGAACCAGGAGTAACTGCTGTGCATCGCCGGGTGTGACCCAAAAAGAAAAAAAAAAATCCTTCTTCAAAAAAAAACACTCAAATATCTCTCCTAGAAAGTCAGTAGTGGATATTTTTCTATGCACTAAAAGACTTCTCTATAATACCTTTGCCTATAATACCTCTCCTTATACACACAGTGTTTGGCTTGCTGCTGCAGTGGGGGACAGCCTCATTGATAGTGCTTGCCAATTTCTGTGGTCTAACTCTTCATATTATGACTGAACTTACAATACCAACATGATATCACTGAACACAGGGAGAGCAAAAGGCATAGCATGCCATCTAGCCAATGGAAAATCAATCATTCTTTACATTATGCTTTAAGTTTTACTCTGCCTTACCTAATGCAATCAATAACTTGGTTGTAGGTGTTTCCCACCCACCTCCAATAAACTGTATACTCCTTGGTGGATAGATCTTCCAAAACTTTATGACTATAATTCCGGCACTTGCTATACTCCCTGGCCCAATAAGATCTTCTGCATGAGTAAAGACATAGGCCACTTT